AAACTTACCAGCTCTCTTTGGGGTAGCCAAAAATGGCTGAAGAAACGACCTATCAACAAAAATCATCGAGCCCTATAACTAAATTGCCATAGACCAATATAATAGACGGATTGCTTAACGAAAACCAGGAGAACACCTCTAAACTTGAGTACGTTACCGGGATCAAAAACCTTCACACCACAGAATTACACAGGATAAACAGCAATATACCCGACGTCTGTCTAATTTGCTACATGGGACCACATACCACCGACCATCTGTTTAACTGCCGGGTACACCCAACCTCACTTACCATCAAGATCCTATGAAGGAATCCCGAAGAAGCTGCCAAACATCTGCATCTTATCGCATAAACTCACATAACGGAAGTTTTTCTAGGGTATCTAATAAAAACTCGGTTCTCCGCAACCCGAAAAATTTGGCCCTTAGAACGGGTTTCATAACCAAATCAAAACCTCCCTCTTGGTTGTGGTATACAGAGGGCAGGTGCTGAAACCAGCACAAAGACGCTTTCAGTAGAAAAGTTGATTTCCCTTCTACGCCGGTGTTGCCGCAATAGACCCTGGGGAACTGCAGTGATAGATTGAACGAGATAAAACCAACATGACTAGACACGATCACAATCAATATGTCCCTAACTCTCTCTCCCTCGATCTCTCTAACATAAACGATCTCTCTAAATCGATCAGAGGCTCAAAGCAGAGATCGATGTAGCTACAACAACAACAGCCAAGATCTATATAAGAGTATTCAAACAGTCCATGACTCTTACAAACTCTGAACTATTTGAGCACTGTTGCATTTATTTTTGCCTTCTGCTTTATGACTAAAAAAAATCCAACGAATTCAGATTTCCTCAAATGCAGAGGGCAATTTGATAGCAGCAATGGTCGAGTGGAGTAGGCATATGTCTCTCAACACGAGGGTCATGAGTTCGAATCCCATTTCGGCCACGGTTGGAGGGGTCCCAGTGTCATCCGCCTCTCCAAGGTGGGAACGGCTGCGGCGAAATGGATGACATCTCCCTCCTCCCCCCCCCCCCCCCGCGGTTGATCCTGCCGTGAGCAAGCCAGGGCTAATAAAAAAAGACGCGATCTGAAGCGCTGAGCGTACAACCACAAACAGTACAATCCTATCATCCCCAAGTGGCGAGCGGAAAAACAATTAAAGAACCGATATCATCGAACCGAAAAACAACTTACGTTCGTTCGAATAAAAAAATTGACTCGGAGTTTGTAAAATCCTCCTCAATTTCGAAGCTACTGCAGGGTTCAAACTAAGCATTGCAAGAGACAGAAAAAAAAACAGGCAACAGACAGTTCAAAAAGAGTCAATGAACGCAAGGAAACAAAAAAACAGACTTTAGAATTTTAAGTGAAAATGTCCTGAAAACTTTTGATCTCCACTTAATTGATATTTTAAAAACAGGATCAATAGGTAACTTTTTCATTCCGCTGGGAAATCTGAGAACTAAATTCGCTTTTCGAAACTAGAAGTCCATCACGTTTTTTGTGAATTTCAAACTTTTCCTGTCCGATGAGAGCTTGCCTTCCTTTCAACAAAGAAACTGAAGTGAACCACAAAAAATCAAATTTGAGCCCGAACAAATTTTAGGACTTTCACTGAAAAAAAAATTATCATGACCTACATAGGATTCTTCAATTCGTCCATCGACTCTTAATAAATCAGAGCAACTCACTTCATAACATAGCTTCGATCCTAACAGGCGAATCTTAGCTATACAGGCAAATCATAATTTTACAACCAACATAAAAACAACTTTCGAGAGAGTAAAGCAAGGGAGCACGCTTTTTATAGAAGAAACTTTAGTTGAACTCTAGCCTTGAAATTTTAGTTAAACTACAGTAAAATTCTTTTCCGAAGCTTTTTAAGCCCCATTCAATTTTTCAAATTTACTCTTTGTCAATTTTCGGCTGAAACCGTAGCCAGATTGACCTATTTTACTCTGACAGTCGAATATGCCTAAATTCTAGGTTTTCGTTAGTTCCATTTATCACACGACTCCAAAAAAAAACAATATTTTGAAACCAGAAAAAGCGTTTTATGTATTTTTGTAAGAGTGCGGTCGGAAAATTCTCTGCTACTTGCACAGCCACCGGCTATTCTTGTTTTTATTTTGAATTATTATTGTCATTTAACAAAATAATCTAGATTTGAGACCGCATTCCTTGCTTTGTTGTGGCTAGAAGGTAAATGCTAAAACTACTTCAAAACCTGAATAAAAAGTTGGAACAAACACAAAAAAAAAATCTGCTGTCCAAAAAAAATATTCAGCTTTCCTTTGTTGTTCAAAACATGAAATTTACCATTACCAGGAACTTCAGTTGCTAAAAGAGTTATCTGAAGAGCCCAGAAACGTCCTGTGAACAAAGTTTTAAGCGAGCAGCGAAGTTGAGCTTCGCGCCACTTGCAATACAAAAGAAGAAAGCTGATAAGTCGGAAAAAAAAACACAAAAAAACCAGAGTCGAAACAACCAGAACTATCAAAATTAATAAGGCTAGCTTTGAAAAAAACGCGGAGACACAAGAATGTAAAATCAAAACCAAAGGGAAATTTACGAGGTTGTAACGAAGCCGAAATTACCTTAGTTAATAAAACCTTTATATTAAGTCCCCCTCCACCTTAAAACAGACACACAAAAACTTTATTCGCACATCAATTGAAACAATACGAGGCCACTAAGTCAATATAATAACCAAAATAGACTGAACAAAAAAAAGCCGGATAAAAATTCAAACAAATTTGAGACTAATAAAAAGTTAGTAAGTCCACCTCGCCTTCAAAATACATACACACCAAAAACTTTTTGCTCGTCAAACGACATCACGTTTATGAGGCCTCAAAGCCGATATAATACAGTCCAAAGCCTATCAAGCCAAAAAAAAAGAATAACAAAACAAAAAATGAAATTTTACGAGTTGGTTAAATAACAACCAACATTAAAAGAAAATTTTGAATTAAGACGCTAACGTGCACAAAATACATTTGTAATTATAGCGGTAAATTTGTTGCTAACAGAGGCTTCCGGGAAAAGAATCCAGACGAAACGAATCAATGAGCCAATAGACAGTTAAAAAAAGAGTCAATGAACCTAAGTCCAAAGAAAAAGTACCTTTTTTTTGAAAAATCTTAACTTTCCAATTTCAAATGAAATAAATAGATGGCCTTAATTAAGGCTTTTTGAAATGTTTCAACAATTTATGATTGACCTTTTTTGATAAAAATTAACCCCATTTGAAACCACTGGATCAGAAATGAAAATTTTCTTCGGCTGGGAAATTCGATAATTTAATTCCACCTTCGAAAGTCGATCAAGTTTTTCGTGACCTTTACACTTTTGTTGGTCGAAAGTGGAGTTTGCCTTCCTTTTTTAACAAAGGAAATGAACTGATCTGGAAAAGAAGTCAAAAGACAAACCGCGGAAAAGTGAATTTGAGCGTGAACAAATTTAGAGACTTTTCCTGGAAAAAAATCGTCGCGACCTATAAAAGAGTCTGCACTGCGTTCATCGAACACCTAGTTATCTGGTTGCAAATCCAGGCGAGGGTTAATATAAATTTCCGGAACTCGGCACTTCCCGAATTCCAATTCAATTGGTAAAATCAATTAATAGGTGGAGATTGAGACAATCAAAATAAGTTCGGAGACCCGCCGTATATAAAAATTTTGATTAAAACACCATCACCTGAAAAACCGATCTTATTACCAGAAGAGTAATAATTCTTGCAAGAACACGACCAAAAAGCAGCTCTATCAAGCGCAACAACTCGGCTACGCGTAGGATTCGAACTGCGACCTACTGCAATCAAGAGATTGAGAGTCTCATACACTATCCACTCAGCCACGCAAGCTTAACAACTGACAAACACTAGTCACGAATAAAGCAGCTACATATGCTAATAACTTGCCAATGCAATTCAGCAAAAGTTGCACCATTACAAATAGACTCAATTTTGCAGATAATAATTTGGAATGCAACAAACTGAACGCATCCACACTATCTTTGCATGAAACAAACCGCAAAGCATAAAGCCACATTATTAGTAAATTATGCATTTCAAATAATTGCGATATATATTGAGTTTCTGCAATCGAGTTTTCAATATTGTTATGTTGTTTGAAACAAATAGCTAAATAAAAATGCATCAACTATGTTAACTATTCGAATGTCAGATCAAATGCTATCAAAAAGCTGTTAAAGTGCCCCACCATAAAGGTGCCGCACTAATATTTGCGACTTAAGTATTTGCGACAGGAAAAAAAAGAAGGTTCGTACTAATAAACTCGCTTCGCAAGTGTAAAAACGAAAAGCCAACACTTCAAATAAGCTGCAATGTTGCACGGATCAGCTAACACAAACATGTCTCAAATGATGCATTTATGTACAGAGATTCAGTACCAAATTGATCTTGTTTAACTAGTTGTTCGGAACCAAAAAAATATTTGATTCAGCAACACTCAGCCGTTTGCAGGGCAAGAATAACAAAATGTTTTGATTACATTTCGCTATCGGGCTAAAAACAACAACATTACAATTCGCTTTGGAACAAAAAAATGTATTTTTTTTCGGATTTTCGAAACTTTGTCTCTGAATTTGTCCAAAAGGGAACCATTTTAAAATATTTTTCTCGGCTCGACACAATACGCAAACTATGAAAATTGAGTTTTTGTGAACTTGCGTATAAAAACGCCCGAATGCAAGGTTCCTTTCCATGACTTGGTCCCAATAATAAAGCATTAATTGGCAAAAAATAAAGTTAAAAACCTTGAATTTTGCTTTAACGGAGTCTTCTTTCATAGGCCTGAACCTTACTCACTCGCTAAATGAAACACTTAAAAAGTGTATAAGTAACTTAGACGAATAACGATTATGGACCAAATAACGCTGAAAAACCATCTTGATTACAAAAGTTAAAATCTGATTACAAATAATCAAAAGTATCAAATATTTGAGACAAATAAAATAAATTTTGCGTACATTTCGATTAAAAACTTGTCATCAAATTTGCACCCTGTTGCCTTCGCTTTCGTGAATTACTCTCACAGACGTCCATCAATTTGCATCACCAATCAAAATAAATTGCGATTTTGCTTCGGATCCTCTGATCAATTACTACAGCTTCTGGTAATCAGTGTCGGAATTGACAGCTGCTATATTGGGCAGGTGATTCATCATGACACTAGCTTGTGCTGACGTCATCTTGTTGAGCTGTCTGTGCTCCCTGTCGAATGAGTCACTCACACTGGTCCACTCTGGGATGTCCTCACAGGCCATCTCGTGGGGCAGTCTCTGTCTGGGTGTGTGGAAGTGGAAGTCCAGAGGGTAGTGTAGCAGATCAGTGCACCTGGTGGCATAGATGTCTGCATAGCCTTTCACCTGAAACAAACTTAAGTTCCATGTAAAGTGTCGCTTCTATTCAAAACAAGGGTTTTTTAAATAGAGAACATCTAATCGCGCAAAAACAGTGAAGCGTGAAGCTCAGTATCGTGTACACAGAGGCCAAGCGGCGCTTCGCAAACACAAGCGAGGAAAATACAAAAAAAGCTCTGAACAGGCAAAACAAAACGAAATCAGGAAAAGGGAAACATAGCCAACAGACAGCTGGAAAAGAGTAATGAACCTAATTGAACTTCTAGAAAAATTTATGAATGGCGTTTTTTGATAGCATTAACCCAACTTGATAAAAACTGGATCAATAAGTAAAGTTTTTATTCCGCTGGAAATCAAAAAATTAAATTCCACTTTCGTAACATGTCCACTTTCGTTTTTTCGAGCCATTTCTATGTTTGTAATTGGAGAGTGTTATTTAGGTAAATTTCAGCTGATGAATTTCAATTGAACTCAAACAGTTCATATATACCCAAGCGCATTCATAAATGCATCAATATGTATGAATGCACATCTGTAGTTATTAAAGCATTTTAAGACGTTCCTGAAAAAATATCACCAAAACCTATATAAGAGTCTTCACTACGTTCATTACTCTTAAAAGATTAAAATCACACCCTGGAAAAATTTTTTGCTGAAATAAGGAGTAACAAGTTCCCAGATCTGATCCACGACCTCTTGTAATTTTACTTACACTAGCCACCAATAAAGCAGCTGCAGTTTTTTATCAAATTGCCAATGCTATGCAGCAAAATCTTGACCAAAAAAGTAATTCAATCTTCCGGATTTGAATCTCCCGCCTGATGATTAGGAGTCTCACGTACTCACATTTAAGCCTCAGTCGCTTGGAGGTAAACTAGTGGCCCAGCTAATGCTGGATGCACTTGTTTTAATATTTTAGTCTTCGATTGTACAGATACCGAAACGTGTAATTTTCAAAATTTCCAAAAAAAATGGACTTTACTCAAAGCACTAGTGATTTCCATACTTAAGGGATTAGCCGCTTATTCAAAAGAAAAACTACTACTAGCTCTTTCAACTGATACCATTATCTCACAAGTTTGGCTGGGTAGTTTTCGAAAGAGTAAACACAGAGTCGAAGCAAGCTTCGCAGCACTTGCGATGCAAAAAACCTAATGCGCTACACAATAGTGAAAAAGAAAGACAGAACTCAAAATAAAATTCAGAAAATTATGTTGATAAAAGTTGAAAACCTGATGTCATTGTTGTGATTTTACATCAGGTTTTGCAATTATTGCAAAACATACTTAGTTAATTAACCGGTCACTCATATATGACCTTCATTAGCCATTCTCTCCGGCGGAGAGAATGATCTCTCATTGTTTAATGTTTTAACTTATCGACTAATTCATCTTAATTCTTATTCTTTTTAATAGTTTTAACCTAGAATTAGCTACAACAAAGTAACATTTTATCATGGCGCAGTCATCTAACGAATCTAACGTGAGAGGATTACCTCCTTTTTGGCAAAACCATACGGTAGACCCACCCATTCCATGGGAAGACTGGAGTGATCTGTTTCAATTAGCTATAATTGCTAAGGAAAACATAGATATAGAAAATCTACTCAATCCGTCGGAGAGACAACACCCACTACCTCCAAATTTGGAAAACTCAACGGACGGTGAAACAGATACTCAAAGACGCTCGAGATTGGAGAGAAATTCCCAAGAACAAAGACGATATGACGAAGAAGAAACAGCATCGATAAAAACCGAAACCAAGAAATTCAACGGAATGCGAATAGAAGAAGCAGACAAGAAATTATGTTCGGTTTTATATCTGGCACTGGGAAATGAAGGAAAAAGGATCTTCGGACAAAAATTTACCAAGGTGAAAGTCCTACAAATTTCTTTTAAGGAATTCTGGGAGTTCTTAGCTATCGCTTTCGTGAGAAAAACAAATGTCACATTTGAACGACATAAACTGTTAAATAGAAAACAACGCGATAGAGAATCCCTCGAACAATTTTGGGGTGCCTTAGCTGAAATGGCGAAAAAGTGCGACAGAACCGCAGGAGAAGAAGAATGGATAAGAGATATTTTCATAAATAATATGAAAAACTACGACATCCAAAGAAATTGTTAACAGAAACCCTCCCTCCACGCGAAGCACTAAATGTAGCACTCATAGACGAAAAAGGAATTTTAAATCACTTGAAGTTAACCAATAATTTTAAATCCAACGGATCATCCGTACACAAACCAAGCAACCACTTTAACGTCAAAAGAGAACCAACCCTTAACATCGAAAGGAGTAACAACTGTATGAAGTGTGGCGGATTATTCTCAAAAGGTCACTTAGCAGTTTGCCCAGCAAAGGACACGACTTGTACTTCTTGTAAATTTAAAGGACATTTCACCAGATTTTGTAGATCTCGTCGCAAAAATGTAAACATTGTAAATACCCAATTTGTAGATAATACAGATTTTAATCCGTCGGATATTCCGGATGTAAATACTGACCTCATGGATAGAGAATGTTGTGGCGTCATAAACGCATGGTCAGAATCTGGACAAAGCGAAAACGACGATTATTCTGTACTAAATGTAACTACGATTTTTGATAACGATGGAAAAGAATTGAAGAAATTATTGAACATTGGACTCGGAAAAGAAAACCAAGTAATTTTAAACATTCAAGTGGATTCAGCTAGCCCGGTGAGCTTCCTTAAGAAAAACGTACTTCACGAATTAAAGTTACGAGACCCCTACTTGAAAATTTATCCAGTGGATAAGTCAACTAGAGACCTATACTGTGGATTCACAGATAATGCCATAAACATCACTGGAAAGGTGAAGCTTCCGATATTTTCAAATGGTTGGTCAGACAACGACTGTCAATTCTTCCTAACCGAGGGACACGAGAGAAATATCTTAGGAAACGACAACCTTCCAAAAGTGGGGATAGAAGTCTCTCAGAAACACTTCCCACACTTTCAGACTAACAAGCAGTGTAAGTCAATAAATTCCATCTCTCAAACAAACCAAGATAGGGAAGTTCTGAATATAACAAAATCTTTCAAACATTTATTCCTTCGGATTGGAAAAATTAAAAATCAGATGAAAATCACCCATTTCCATGAACCCTTAAAACCAATCCAACTAAAGGGAAGACGAGTCCCCCTTCACTTACTGGACGCGGTAAAGACAGAACTCAATAGACTAAAAGCGGAAGGACATATTAAAAAATTAGAAAACTGCGATGAAGACAGATTTATTAGCCCAATAGTCATCACTTGTAAAAAAGATAAATCCATCAAATTAACCTTAGACTCCAAGTTCATAAACAAACAGATTTACAAGAACAAATATCAAATGCCAAACATCCACGAACTGGTAGACAATGTCGCGGCACAAATTACTAATGATTCCGTTGGAGAAGTGTGGTTTACTAACTTAGACTTTAAAAACGCGTACAGCCAATTAGCACTAGATAAATTCACTAGTAACCAATGTAACTTCAGTATCGTGGGTGGTGATATTACGGGTACCTACCAATTTTTAACTGGTTTTTACGGCTTAGGGGATATGCCTAACGAATTTCAAAGAGTAATGGACTCTTCCAAAGGATCATTCTTAGACCACAAGAATATTGTGTTAAAAATTTTATCGACCCTCGACGAATACAATTTCGCGGTGAAATGGTCAAAATGTAAATTCTTTCAAAAAGAAATAGAATGGTTGGGATTCAAAATCTCTAAATCAGGTATTACCCCATTATTCGACAAATCGAAAGCCATAAAAGATCTACCTATTCCGAAGAATTTGAAAGAACTACGATCATTTTTTGGTTCTATAAACCAATACATTAAATTCGTCCTAAACTTAGCATCCTTAGGAAGCCCACTACGACCGCTTCCAAATAAGAAATCAATATTCCAATGGAACGATGACCATACAAAAGCGTTTGAAAAAATTAAAGAAGAAATCGTAAACCTAACAGAGAATACCCATTTTGACGTGAAACGTAAAACTAGAGTAAAAACAGACGCGTCACATAATGGACTCGGAGCTTCGCTTGAACAACTCCATGGGAACGATTGGAAAACAATCTCATTTGCTTCACTCTTTTTAAACCCTCACGAGTCTAAATATTCTACGAATGAGCTCGAACTACTAGGGGTTGTATGGGCCGTCGAACATTATAAGAACTACCTTTACGGATCAGATTTCGAAGTAATTACTGATCACAAAGCTTTATTATCCGCTTTATCACCAAACCACGGGAATAAAACTTACCACAGTAGACTAACAAGATGGGTAGACAGATTATTACCATTTAATTTTTCTATCAAACATATCGCAGGAAAAGACATGGGTTTCACTGACCTTATTTCTAGAATTCCATCAGGAAAAGCTCTTCCAATATCACATTACGATGAAGAATTCGTAGTAGCAAACATTAATAAGATAAATAAATCATTAAATCCGTCGGAGAAACTAAGAACTACCTGCTCAGCCATTGGTTTTAATCTGGAAAATTCCGATTACGCTTTATTACGTAATTACCTAATAGCAGCAGTGTTAAAACTCATTAACTCGTCTTTTCCAATTTGCTCATTTAATCACAAAAGAACAGAATTTTGTACTTCAAATTGCATTCCAACGGATTATTCTAATACAAATACTTTAATTATTTCCATTTCTAATTCCGCATTTCTTTATTTTTTAATCTCTAATTGTAGTTTAATTAATTCACCTGTAGATAAAAAAAATTGTAGATACTGTTAATATGAATAATAAGAATATTGTAATTAATCCCACCACTTCCGGTATTTCCGTAGATTTAGACTTTCAACTTTTACCAGACCACGCTAATCTCGTTAAAAAATACCGCGAAAACTTGAAGTTGCCGGATCGACCCTTGGATTTAAATATTTTATTTAACGCCAAGTTAGTAGCTCTCTTGACAAAAGACGATCCCATGTTAAGCCCAATTGTTAAAGCACTTCAAAATAAGGTGGAGAAGATTAATGCAGATCTTCGAAACACATCCAGGTCAATTTGGAATGAAATACTTGGCTCAATACATCTGGTGGCCTCATATTAACAGGCAAATCTACTTTCACGGAATAAATTGCTCAGAATGTACATCGGCGGGTAAGAATTTGAAAACTGTCATTCCTAAGTCACAAATTAGTGAACTTCCTCCACTATCGGAACCGAACGAAGAACTTAATTTAGATTTCGCGGGTCCTTTGGATTCTTACTGGGGGTCAAAGAAATACATTTTACTTTGTATCGACAGATTTTCTAAATTCCCGTCGGCAAAAACTACATCGTCTACTTCTTCAAAAACAGTTGTAGAATTTTTACAAGACTACATATTCTTACACGGGATACCTTATTCTATAAGGGTAGATCACGCTACTTGCTTTACAAGCCAAGACTTCAAATCATTCTGCGATTCCAACAACATCAAAATAATCTTTTGTACAGTAGGCGACCACCGTTCCAACGGATTAGTCGAAAAATTAGTACACACTGTGAAAATCAAACTACTGGCTATTTCAAAAGAACATCATAAAAGCACACTGCAGAGTGCCGTTTCGAAAATCATCTGGAATCTACGTTCTACCTATCAATCAAAAATTAAATGTTCACCCTTCGAAATTCACTATAACAGAAAACCAAATACTATTTGGAAACAACTTGCCTCTCTTAAACCCTCCTTTGGAATTTTAGACAAAGGGAAACCAATTCTGTCTAAGGAACGAGCTAAGGATTGGAATGCGGACGTCAGACTAGAGGATGGCTACAAGGACGACTTGATAGCGAAGAAGAATCAAAACCCGAAAGAAAAAGGATACGACACGGACTATGCTTCATCCTCGAAAATCATCCCAAATAGACTACCAATCAAAAGTCCATTCCAAGGTAAAATCCTTCGGAAAACTAACGGTAACATCAACCGAGACTGTTTCTATAAGGAACTAAATAAAAGAATTATAGATTCTTCTACTTCGACAGTTAAAATTATCCGACGGAAAAATAATACGAAAATCCGACATTGCGATTCCTATTTCTACTTCAAATAAAATCAGACCTTTTAAAGGAAACATTTCATTCCCGTATTTTCCTAATCCTATTGTTAAAGTAGGTCAGAAACAGGAAGGCGTAAGACGTAAATCAGGAACGAAAAAGCCAACGAAAAAAAGGACCAGACAAGTGGATCCGACCCCTTCTGACAACTTAACTAGGACACGCATATCAGGGTCATCACGCAATACTACAAGAAGACAAACACGCCACTCAAAGAAGTCATCAACCCCTCCAGGTTACCTTGCTTCGGATGAATCTATGCTAATTCCGTCGGATATTTCGGATACTAGTGAATGGGAATGGATAGCGGGCGGCTTCCCTTGTAGAGATGTAGCCAGAGAGCGTTTTATTTCAGACTCACTTACACCTCACCTCTCAATCGCAAATAATTCTAATCACACCATAACCAATCCTGAAATAAAATCTGAGATTTTAGAAAACGACATCGAACCAAGCAGAGAACAATCTTTGGACCAATCTTACGAGTGCCCAATAAGTAAAATACCCGCCAACCGAACACATAGTACTGAGGAACAGAGAACCATAAACCAGGGAAGGGACAATGACACCATTGAACAACAGGACCTGCAAGACGTGTCTAATCCAATGGATAACGACTCAAATACGGACTTCCCGGTGTACGAGATAAAGGACTCAACTGACGAGTGTACTATGCCTGACGAGTGTACTATGCCTGCCAACCCTACCAGCGTTTCCGGTAAAATTCCTCCTACCATCCGCCGCTCCAGTAGAAATGATGGTCCACCAAAATTTTATGGTAAACGTTATTTTATTGATGCTGTAGAGAACGTTCAAGAAGCCTCGGGTTCTGCGGCCGATCCTATCGTGATAGAAATTGAAGGATCACACGACACCATCAACAAGACAAATCCGGCGGAGTTAATCGTCCTAGATTCAAATTCAACATCATCTGATCAAATGTCAACCTCATCAACCGACGAATCACTGAGAATGGAAATAGAGAATTTTGGAGATCACTCCGATCTCGATAGCGAACTTTTCAACACAGAACTTGAAAACTTTTTAAAAGAATATAAAACTTTGTAATCACTCAGCTATACTCTAATCTGTTATTTTGGCTTACCAAGAAGCACATACTACCTTATAAACTGGTGCTAATCTTCAAATATTAATTTGTCGAGCGGTAAACTTAAGAACTTTATCCTTCGGATAAACTTAATCCAGAAAAAGAAAACATCATCGTGTGCTCTCATAAATCATCCAAATCGATTTCCCTTCAGTTAGTCTATTACAAAGCAAGACCCCACCCATAAAACGTTGTGTAAACTTCACCGCATTTTATTTTGCTTTAATATAACCCTTATCCGTTGGATTCCGGATAATCTTTCTTGCAGTTATAGTAGCTGTATTTAATGCTATAGGGAGCTTTAGTTAGTGTCAGTTCCTCATTTTTATGGCGCTTTAATTTTCTTTCCCTCGTCCTTAAAGGGGGAGAAAGGAGTCAGTCATAGTTAGTTCTTGTGCATTACCTTATTCGCAATTTAAATTTTTTCCTGCTTAGGGGAATGTTGTGATTTTACATCAGGTTTTGCAATTATTGCAAAACATACTTAGTTAATTAACCGGTCACTCATATATGACCTTCATTAGCCTTTCTCTCCGGCGGAGAGAATGATCTCTCATTGTTTAATGTTTTAACTTATCGACTAATTCATCTTAATTCTTATTCTTTTTAATAGTTTTAACCTAGAATTAGCTACAACAAAGTAACATTTTATCAGTCATGAAAACACAACTGTTGTCAAGAAAAATTTCATAAATTAAATTGAGTCGATATAACATAAACAAACTGTTTGAATATTGAAAAAAAAACGGAAAAAATAGTGAAAGCAAAACTAGACATGATAAGTTTACAAATGTGCGAACTTTCAGTTTTAGTAAAAACTTATTTAATTGGAAAAAATACCATACTTTAAGAACTAAACCAATTAAACCTTTTAAATAGAAAAATGTTGATTAAAGTTTTTGAAAAAAAGAATAAGTTTCCAAAAAAACGGACAGAATTTCAAAAATTGGACATTTTCTAAGGCCATATTTTTCAAAACATAGGGCATAGCCGCTTATACAGGGAAGATTCGCATAATTGGCTTTTTCTTGGGGTTCAACCATCGATTTGGCAGGGTAGTTTTTGAGAAAATTAACGAATAAGTCAAAAAATGGGCTTGTTTGAGGCCATAACTTTTTTCTACCGAACTTAGGGAATGGCCAACTGAGAAGGGCGAAAACCATAATTTTTTTCGTTTGATTGAAACCTATATCTCAGATTTTCACAATTAATATTTAAAAAAATAAAGAAAAAAAAGGTCAAAAATCCCCCTTCCGAAAGTTTTGAAGGCCGTAGAACGTGAGGTGAAATTAAAATAGACTAGCAAAATTCGCAGGGACGTAAAAAAAGCCGCCAGTTTGTCCATTGGTATCATTTATTAGGAAATCGGCTCTAGTTTTTGAAATGAAATTGAAATTTCCGCGAATAAAGCAATACTTTTCCAAAGCGTCGCAAAAAAAAATAAACAGCAACAAATCCCATACATTTTCATAATACCTGTTGTTTTCAGCAGAAACTTACACTAGTAGAAAAAATACAGCCGCAACATGCGCTATTAAATTGCCTATGCTTAAATAGGCTTGGAAAAGAATAATTTGAAATATACCAAAAGTGCCACCAATGAACACTTTTATTTGCGACTTAGGTTGGAAAACAAATCTTCGTAAAAATACACTACGCTTCGCTTGTGCAAATAAAGCTTGACCTATTACTTATTTTGCGAATTTCAAGTAAACTGAGGTCAATTATGAAATTTTTAAATTTTAACGAGCCACGAAAACAGTTTGCCCTACCTCGCAAGCCACATCGAGCCCAATCATTACTTAAGCATATTATAAAGTGAAAGCCGGAGTACAATTCACCTGTGAAGCGAAGAATGTTTCTCTCGATCCACTCTGGAAAAGTCCTCCTAGTTTCCCATAAGTCAAATCTACCGCCCTCAATTTCTCTTTCAGTCCCATTTTCACCTCTGAAAGCCCGTTTGTCATTGCCTCACCCCCATTCATTGTCTTTTCACCATCTTCAGCTTCTGATGCCTGACATGCGAGACTGTAGTGACCTCTGTGGTTGTTTACTTTTATGAAGTCCACTCGCTCTAATTCTCGGATGAGTGGTTTACATTTGACCCAGCAAGCCAGCTGATGGTCCAGCTCCTCCACTACTAAGAAAGTCTTCCAGCCTTTGTGTTTCTTACACTTCAGAATATCTCCAAAAATGTGGTCTCCAATGTACAACACTGAACGACCCTGCACATCTGAAAAATAAGAAAAATCATTTAATTATAGAAGAAACTCAACTCTGGCCTTCATTTGAACAATATCAGCCTCATTTTCTCATCTTAGAAGCGGAACAACTTTGAAGGCACCGACTAAATCGTGAAAAGGGATAATATAATGCTACAAAAAATATATATCATACTTCTTTGTTGATCTTTGAAACCTCAGTACTTGATACTATGTTTTCGAATCAATAGATCAATGGCGAACAAATTGATTGTACCTAATGCGTCTTCCAGTTGATCCACACTTCCCCCACTGTACACGCAGTTCGGCTGCATCACTCCACTCCCACTCTCACCAAACATAGCAACATGTTCGCCTGTCGCTGGATCCACCCGGTACAGTTCAGTACCCTCTTTGAAGAACTTGGGCTTGCGGCTGCTAGTCACCACCAGGTCAAATAATTTGAACCAGTTTGACCCCTTGATATCCTCGCTGATTGGCTGATCAAACAAGTATGTCATGATTCCATTTGTGTATTCCCAGTCGCTGTTTGTAACCAGGAACACTTTTCTTCCCTCTGTCTGAAAAAACGATGAGCTCTGCTTTATATATTTTCATTAAATGCTTTCAGAGTGATAATTTCATAAAAACAACAAAGTTACGTTAGAAGATGAGATTTCGTTGCCCATTAGAACACCAGCTGTTCAAGTTTTGATTCAAGCATACACACAGAGGCGAAGCTTCGCTTTACAAGCACTAGAGAGAACGCGACAAAAAATCAGCTCTATAAAGTGCAAAAATAAAAAGAAATAAGTCTCGACTTAGTAAAAAAAAATGGCCACGTCTGAGATTCCAACCTATGACCGAGAGATTAAGAGACTCACTCCCCAACCACTGTGGTTCTTAAGGATACAATAAGCTGATGCTAGTGTAAATAAGACTGATCTGAAGCTATTTAATACATTTTATGCCCTCATTCCACAGATATATCTTCACCTTCAATGTTTGCAGCAGGAGAGGAATCTTTTCATCCTTCTCAATGTATTCTGAAATGTGTTCTAGGATGTACTCCTTGAATCTGCCTTTCATGTGCACTATTTCGATTGCTTCCCTCATATCCGCAAACAACTCGCTGAACTGTTTGAAGCTTCCTTCTGCTAAGAAGACACCTGTTTTGCTTGAACGTCCACTAAGTTGGTCTTTTTCCACAAAGTAATTAATGACAGCTGCGAAGAACATCAACTCCGGGATGTGAAATGGAGTGTTGAATATGTACATTCTATCTAAACAGATCCAAAATGTTTGTTGTATATAAACATGCAAAATTTTTTGCTCAGTGACATTTTTTTCAAAAAAAAAAGAAAATACCAGGCGATTCAAAACTGCATTAAAAGATAAACAAACAAGCGATTAAACTTAACGTCTCAAAAAATCATTGGTTCTAGTTCTGTCGAATAAAGAAGCTTCGCCTTGGGACTGTTTCTATGGATGTCTTTCTTCAGTTATTTTAAACAATCAAACAATTATGTTTTAGGGAGTTTGAAATAAATTATTAAAATTTACATGGGATGTACACTGAGACCTTTTTATACAGCTAGGCAGTTTGATCTCTACTGACCAGTGAAAGTGACAAATCGGCCAGGGTACAACTCTTCAATCTCTCGCTTGCTCTTCATTTGGTATCCCAGGGCACACATGAAGATATTGCCAAAACTATCCACTTTCAGGAAACACCCATAGAGCGTGTCGAACCACAGTCCTCTCACTGGAAAGTCGATGTCATAGGTCAAGGCTCCAAGCTCTTTCGGATATCCCATTGACACAAATGAATCAAGAGCATGAAGAAATAGAGCTTCATGGTATACCGGCCATTTATACAAGGCCAGGGTATAGTCCATATCGAAGCCATAGTATTTTATTTTTCTAAGGTTTACAGGTCGGTTGACGAAAATTTTGGATTGGAAGGTATTCAAGTATCTAGAATCCGAATTCATTGTTACAGAACACCTTAGGCGATGATTTGGCTTTCTTCTAGCGTTCGGTTAATATACTGGTATGAACCTTCAAATGGAGATACATTAAATAAGTACACAGCTCACGTCAACGACTGTGATCAATTTGATAACAATTAGGATTGATAGACAAAATGAGATTCGATCAACTTTATCTAGCCTCAGAGTGTAACCATATATGACAGAAAAATGATCCATCAGAACACCTCTGCTCTATTCATCTCATAGACAATCTTAGCGGATAACAAGATAAAACAAACAGAAGAATACAGTAGGCGAGACACAGAATCCAATTTTTATTTGAGTTTCCATGCTGCTCGCTGGAACAACGAAAAGGCAAAAACCATAACGTAGAGTATATGGTTTCAAATTATTTTCTCACCTGGATCAGTTTTTTGAAATGGGCTTCTCTGAAGCAATTGAATAGTTAAAATCAAAATTTTTTGGATAACTACATTCTAGAAAATACGATATTATTGGGCATGCTTTGAGATTTTTTGAAATTATTATATAGAATTTGTTTCTGTTGGTTTCTAGGTTATGGGTAGAAAAGACTACCCAAGAAAACAAACAAAAAATTGTTTATAAAGACGTAGGTTTATAATTGATAAATGTTTAGCAGTAGATCGGTCCATTGGATCTAAGAAGTACGTAATCAGAAGCTGAAAAGTATCTAGTAACCGAGGTTACCGTCAGGAGTTCCTTCATCACGTATTTCAGTCAAAATCCTTGGAATTCTCTAGATATGGAAGTGATAATGATAAAAGAAGATGACAAGTGTTGAAGTCCTTTTCAATTAAAATCGATACGGGTTACGTTTCTTCAATAAGAACACGCAACTCGACATGAGAAAATATAATATATTTATAAATGTTACACATAAAAAATTTCATCGAAAGTTATTTTGTCATTTTTAGTTCCGCGGCGTTCGCAATCTGTATTGCCAGGGAGATTCTCTGTTTTAAAAAGCTGCCTGCTCTGGGTTCCTCAGGGCATATGCTTAGATTCTTACAAAGCTTGCTCAAAAAAAATTCTGTGCTGAGGCCGGCCGCGCCCTGAATCTCAAAAGCTAGCGGTTGAAAAAGATATCCATCATCTACAAGATCTTTATACTTGTGATTTTTTCGCTCTTCCGCTTCAGCGGCAGCCGTACCATGGTAACAAACAGCCCGGCATCTAAGAAGTTAACTATTTTTTTGTTCTCCGCTTAATGAGACACTTGAAAACGGGCCGTGTACCTGCTCAAACTGTCGATCTTGACTTAATATTTTTGTTTTTATTTTTGCCTTAATTTTTTTATGGGAATTAATTCTTTCATCATCGTCACCATCATCATCATTAACGGTGGCCACCATACGATTCTCCGGACTTCGTTTGGAACCAGTTGATTAAACTGTAAATTTTTACGCTTTACACGAACCTCATAGATACCCCTAAGTACTTCAAGTGAGGAAAGAACTATGATATAACCCTAAGACGCGAAAGAAAACTGTTTAGAACGAACGATTTGATGGCATGTTCATCCCGAAGATTATGTCACCATTGATGGGATTGGCTTTCTTAGCGCGTTATGTTGATTCCCCAAAAGGAGGCGCTACCTTGAAAAATTTCTTCCCTATGAAAAAATATACCCAACAGAAAACTGGAAAGAACGCAAGGAAACACAAAAAAAATACCGACTTCGTATATAAGAAAATTAAAACGTTAATTCAAACGTTTTTGCACATTTTGTGCATCATCAGGATTAAAACTTTTTACAAAATTTACAAAACGATCAAAGGTCTGAAAAATGAGAAACATGTCTAAAAAGGCTCTAAACTTTTTAACCAACCAAATTTAAACAACTGTAATTACATAATATAAATACGCAATCATGAATAACATTTTCCGGTAAATTTCTGAGATTTTTTAGTTTTTTCTTTCATGGATATAAAATTTCGATTTGGGAAAATTCTTGATTCTGACATGTGAGTTTTTTAACTTTTAGCGATGTTACACAAAGACTATAACTTTAGTCTTAATTCCCGGCTCCAGAATTCATCGCGTGTGTTGATCTTCGGCCTCTCCATCCAAATATGCAAAACCTCTAGTGTCAGTAGCTTATGAGAAGCTTATATCTAACCAGGTGGACACGTTCCCGTTGAACCGTACCACCGGTACTCTAGAATGGACTTGTAGCCCGGAGCTGTTTCAAGTGGGTTCGACTCTGTAGTCATGATGTCGTAGAAACACCCAGGAGCGCCATGAAAACACTATGTAAAAGTTGCCTACTTAAAGTCACATACGAGGTTAGAGAAAAATAGGCCCTATCTATAACCATTGGCTCGAGATTCAGGGACACTATCTCTTGTGTTTTTCTACCTCAAACGGTCGGAGCCAATTCGATTCACGTGCGACATGAGACTACAAACTGCGTTACAGCTTAAAACAAAATACACCCCACTCTCGAGAAAACAAAAACGACCCCTGTGTGAAACCTTCAGGCACCTTGTGTTTCCAACGTTCGTGAAAAAGCTCGCTGAGAAGATATCCGACAAGAGTAATACGCCCTATTCCGATGCCATTAGTGAAGTGCGGCTGAAGACGTCTTTCTCGCTCCTACGATCAGCTCTCACAGGGTTAAGGGGAACCCGGAACTGGAGAACCGACAACAGCCAAGACTAAACTTTCCATCACTTTGATGTGATAGTTTTTTCTTTTGTGAATTTTACCTCGTAGTTTGGGAAAATGTATGGAGAAGAAAAAAAATTTAACTTGCACCTTAAAAAATAAGAAGGCCCCCATGCTCAGGTCTCAAAATACCCAAAACACACAAACGCCGTTAAAAACAGGGTCGTCAACTTACGTCTATAGTTTCTTTTTATTAGACAGTGTGCCGGTCGGTCGTATTTGAAAGTTTGACCTTGAGAAAACGTTTAGTCTTAATTTTGGGCTAAAAAGCAATTTTTCAAAAGTTTGAAATGCACAAGTTTCTCGCGACAAATGAAAATACCAGGAAAATAAGATTAGAAGATTCTAACTACAATCGCGGGAAAGTAGTCAAAAATAGCAGCCGGAGATTGCAATTCGCAACTTCCAATACATAATTCCAACGAGAGTAGAGCTGTCTTTTTCTTGCCAGAAGCGGATTGCGAGTGGAGGAGAATTATTTTAGATTGGACCAGAAAAAATCTTCGGTGGAAAGGTGGACAGCTGAAGCTGCCCAATGGTCCAGACCATAAACTTGTTTCTTGAGTTAAAACATACTTATTTCAAACTTCTCAAAATAAACTCAATTACCCGATCAATTCTAAAGTTGCTTTATAGTTTAGGTACTCGATTCTAGAGGTCGTATCGGTATGTGAGTACCTAATTTAATTTTTTTGAGTGTGTTTTATGTTGTTATGTTGAGTTGGACAGAGTTTTTAGGTTGATCCATCTGAAATGGATCACGGTCTAATAAAAAAAAACTATATATAAAGTTCCGACCCTGTTTTTAACGGCGTTCGCGTATTTTAGGTATTTTGAGACCTGATTATGGGGCGTTCTCAATTTTTGGAGTAGGGGGTATTTTGGTAGTGGCCTTTAAGCTGTAACGCAGGTTTTAGTCTCATCTCGCAAGTGAACCGAATTGGCTCCGAACGCTTGAGGTAGAAAAATACAAGAGATAGTGTCCCTGACTCTTGAGCCAATGGTTATAGGGCCTATTTTTCTTTAACCTCATATGTGACCTAAGTAGGCGACTGTTACTTAGTGGACTTTTGATCCAATTCAGAAAGATCAACCTAAAACTCTCTCTAACTCAACATAATGTAAAACAAACTGAAGAAGATTGAATTGGGTACTTACATACCGACACGACTTCTATAACCGAGTAACTAAATTAATAGGTAACTCTAGAATTATTCCATTAATCAAATTTAACTCAAGAAATTTGAAGTGAATAGGTTTTAACTCAAGACACAAGTTTTCTGTTTTGACCATTGGGCAGCTTCAGCCGTCCACTTTTACTCAGCTCTACTCTCGTTCGGTTTATACAGCGAATTTGCGCATAGTAATTTCACGCTCCTATTTTTTGGACTACTTTCCCGCAATTGCATTTCTCCCCAAAATTAAGACTAAACGTTGCTCAAGGTCAAACTTCCAAATATGAACGACTGGAAAATATTCCCCGGACTCAAAATTGATGTCCTCATTGCGTGTAGTCGTCTGTCAGTGAGCCCCAAGAAAGTTGAGTGCGTCTCAAGATACAGTGCCAGTGGTCATTTACAGAAGTTTGCAGCAGATTTAACTTTATCTAAAACCCAAATATCACAGCCTTGCAAAATTGTCACATTATCGCTGAACAGCAATCACAATCTGCATACACCTGCACCCTGAATTTCCGCTTTGTAAGCTATCCTTAAAATTTCTTTTGTTTTGCCCATTCAAAAAATGTCATGCAGCATTTTGATTTATATGGTAGAGATAGTATACTGATAACAATTTTTTTTTATTAAAACTCCTTTTCCGTGCCCTCAGATTTCATCTGAGTTCACACTCAAGCGCTTCTTTCTTTCCCCCGCTCACGTCTCAAAAACCAATGGTTATAGGGCCTATTTTTCTTTAACCTCATATGTGACTTAAGTAGGCGACTGTTACATAGTGGACCTTTGATCCAATTCAGATGGATCAACCTAAAACTCTCTCTAACTCAACATAACGTAAAACACACTGAAGAAATTTTAATTGGGTACTTACATACCGACACGACTTCTATAATCGAGTAAATAAATTAATAAGTAACTCTAGAATTGTTCCATTAATCAAATTTAACTCAAGAAATTTGAAGTGAATAAGTTTTAACTAAAGACACCATTTTTCTGTTTTGACCATTGGGCAGCTTCAGCCGTCCACCTTTACTCAACTCTACTCTCGTTCGATTTATGCAGCAAAATTGCGCATAGCAATTTCACGCTCTTATTTTTTGGACTACTTTCCCGCAATTGTAGTTCGATTCTTCTGACCTTATTTTCTTGTTTTTTCAGTTGTAGCGAGAAACTTGAGCATGAAATGCTCAATTCAAACTTTTGAAAAATTGCATTTGTCCCCAAAATCAAGACTAAACGTTGCTCAAGGTCAAACTTCCAAATATGACCGACGGGCACATACTCCCTGGACTCAAAATCGATGTCCTCAACGCGTGTCGTCGTCTGTCAGT